ATATATCTCTCTGATTCAACCTGCTTTTTTGGAATTGAGAAGCTCCAGTAATTACTTATAAGGGTGTGTCAGTGGGCAAGTCAGTTCATATCAATTTGAGTTCTGGTTTCTGAGTGCATGTGGAGGTCACAGTCAAGCAGTAATGGTTTCCAGTGCAGAAAAGAGCACTGACCTAGTTCACGTCAGACAGAATAGCCAGACGAGCCCCCCATCTTCCCCACATCATAAAAAAAAAAAAGCATGGATGAGGATTTTTCTAATTACTGTCTGACAACAATAAATTTTCAACAATAACACAACAAATTACTGTAGAAAATAACCATTTTGTTCTGCATTGTGGGGTAATACTGTAAATAGAGTTTCATTAGTGTGTTCTATAACACTACTGGGAGTTTTTACCCAAAGATGTTAAAGATTTGAGTTAAATACCATTAAATTCTGTGTGTGTTGTTTTAATGACTGCAAACATGTAGAGATTTGTGTACACACCTTTAATCAAATCTGTCTTTTTAGGTTAAGTACAGGTGTGGCTGACTACATTCAACTAAAACTGACAGAAACACAACTCATTGGCCTCAAGGGCTAATCTTAAAGGATCACAAAATCATAAAACACATTCTTTTTGTTAACAGATGTGCACACATTGCATTTTATGGAAATTATACCAAAACAGAGATATCAAACACTAAATATTAAAGCCAAAGACTTTAAAGCAAGTAGTTCAAGCTACATCTCATATCTAATAAGGCCGTTAATAACTTCAAACATAATGAAAAATAATGAAACCTGCACCATATTTTGCTGCAGCAGATCTGAAGATTTACAGCAAATAATGACTTAACTGTTGGGTTGCAGAACTCATTTTAATATTAGAAACAGTAGTATTACTTATAAAATAATAAATATATTACCTACTAATGGTATTAGTTAGTTGCCACATATATTAGCCTATGTTTTTTAAGCTATGATTCTCCCACGATTCTGAAAGGGGTCATATGATGCGATTTCAATTTTTCCTTTCTCTTTGGA